GAGGGATGGCTGGGTCTAATGGAACCTCCAGTCCCAGCTCTTTGAGGTATCTCCATATTGATTTCCATAATGGTTGCATTAGTCTGCACTCCCACCAGCAATGGAGGAGGGTTCCTTTCTCCCCACAACCCCGCCAACATTTGTTATTGTGTGATTTCTTGATAGCAGCCATTCTTTGTGGGGTGAGGTGGAATCTCAGTGTTGTTTTCATCTGCATCTCTCGAATGACCAGTGATGTGGAACATTTTTTCATATATTTTCTTACTGCTTTTACTTCTTTGTATGAGAAATGTCTGTTCATTTCAGATGCCCATTTTTGAATCGGGTCTTTATATTTGGGGGGACCGATTGTTTTGAGTTCTTTATATATCCTTGATAATAGTCCTTTGTCTGAGGTACAGCTGGGAAAAATTTTTGACCAAATTATAGATTGTCTCTTAGTTCTGCTAATGGTTTCTTTTGAAGTACAGAAGCTTTTTAGTAATATGAGATCCCAGTTGTTAATTCTTTCTGCTAGTTCCCGTGCTTCTGAGGATTTGTTCATAGAGTCTTTTCCTATACCAATGTCTTCCAGAGTTCTGCCTAACTTACCTTCCAGCAAGTTTAATGTTTCTGTTTTAATATTTAGATCTTTAATCCATTTGGATTTTAATTTAGTGCATGGCGAAAGATAAGGGTCTAATTTTAATCTGTGGCAGGTTGACATCCAGTTTTTCCAACACCATTTATTAAAGAGGCTATCTTTCCTCCACTGAGGATGGTGAGCTCCTTTGTCAAAGATGAGGTCCAGCTACTTTTCTCTTACAGGGTAATGAAAAGAAATGATTTATTCTTAGTGTAGGCTTGTAAGCAGAATTGCTGAGCAGAGTTTTTGGGAAGCTCTTTAAAGGGAGTAAGTTAAGGAGATTTTATCCTTCACTCTGCAATTTCTCTGGTATGTGGAGGTCATAGTAGAGATGGAACCATCATCGTTTCCATGGGATGGCTGTGGGTGTGAAAGCCACCCCTGATGAATGTGGCTGTCACTGAGTCTGAGACTGTGGTGGCCCTATGGGTTATTTCTACCAGCCTCAGATTCTCTACCTCCAGATATTAATTTTGTGAGAAAAAAAAAAAACAAACTAGTTTGTTTAAATCACCATTTGTAGTGGCTTCAGCTACTCCCGCCAAGCGCACTCTCAACTGATAAGTTGTTTAAACAAAACTTGCACTGAATTCTCACAGTAGTATTTCAGGCAATGTTTCCGTGAGATTATTCTGAAACATGTTGAATCATCTGTCTTTTGAGACTTGAAAGTATTTTGGACAAATTTGTAATTTTGCTTTTCTATCAAGATGAAAAACAGATCCATACATTTCCTATATCTCACAGTTGTGTTAACATAAAATGGAACTGATAATTTACTAGAATATAAAGTTGATCATACTGCTTTGTTTTTGTTTATGGGTTTGTAAAAGGTGAAAGATTTATAGTGTCTGAAGAGAAACCAAAGTATTGTTTATGAGTTTGTATTAGTCTGGGCTGTCTAGAGAAATAAATAAAACAAACAGGATATGTGTGCGTGTGTGTGTGTGTAAGAGAGAGAGAGAGAGAGAGAGAGAGAGAGAGAGATTTATCATAAAAACTGACTTATGCAATTATGGAGGCTGGCAAGTCCTAACTCTCCACTATGAGCCAGCAGGGTGGAAACTCAGGAGAAACCACAGTATAATTCCAGTCCTAAGGCCAGAGGCCTAGAGATTTCTCTCTTGCTTTAGGCAGCTGGTCATTTTGTTCACTTCAGGACTTCAGCTGATTGACAAAAGGTCCACTCACGGTATGGTGGACATTCTGTTTACTCAGAGTTCACTGATTTACCATCCAAAAACATTTTCAAATTGACCCATGAAATTAGCTACCACAGGGTTTATTTGTTGTTTAATGTTAAAAAACAGATTGAGTCTGGTACAAATACAATATATTTTTCCTTTCTATGAATGAAAGCAATATATAAAATTCATAAGTATCTCTTATTCTAATCTTGTTACTTTTAGCTTTAAGGAAAGTTAGCAGAGATATATAGACTAAGGCCAATCAAACACTACATTATTGAAATTCCTACTCCCTTCACTCCTGGCTCAAATGTTCCCTAAATTCCAGAAGGACCAATTTTAAATTTTTTGCTAACCCAAAGTAAGGATATCCCTTCAGAAATATAGCAGAAAGATCCACGATTTAATTCTGTCTGACATTCTAACTGTGGAGTTTAATAATACCACATATCCATTTTTCTTTCAAAACGTTAATTTTAAATGCCACACAGTTCTCAACATCTTATCCCTCAAACGCCCTGGGAGTTGTCATTAGTAGATGGTCTTGCTGGTCTACCAAAGAAGCATCATCATGTATCAATCCTCTGTCAAATCCCATCTTGTTCAACAAAGGGCTTCCGGCATCTTATAAAATATAAGTGATATGAAAAGAAAATTTTTCAAGGGTAAGCGTGTAATAAATTCAGAGGTCAGATTAATGAACAAAATGTAACCCGTGTGGTTTTATATATTTACTGAGGATGGGCCATAACTTTGGCTCCAAGTTTTCTAGTTCTCAAAGGAAAATGATAGCCCAGTTACAAGTCTCAGAACAGTCCATAAAATAGAGTAAAGGGAAAAGAAATGCTCCAGAGAAGTATCATTTTCCTTGATTCTGGGTCTTCTCCAGATATAAATATGATATTCCTTTTGAAATATGCACATTTATGATTTTCACATCCTGTTGATGCTGTAAGATCTCAAAGTAGGCGAATTCTACAGAAAAATATTCTACCCTTTGCTTGCAGACCCCCACCATCATGGGTTGCATGCAGGCTCCTGGGAAGAGCCTGTCCCAGTCTGCTCTGCCTTTGGCCACAGTGTCCGCACCTGTCTGAAGCTGACATCTGACAACTTAAGAGAGCAGGTTTACAAATTGGCCACGAAAGGCCTGACTCCCTCACAAATCATTGTGATCTGGAGAGACACTTATAACATTGCACAAGTATGTTTTGTGACGGGTAATAAAATCTAAGAATCCTTAAGTCTAAAGGACTTGTTTCTGAGCTCCTTAAGGATCTCTACCACTTAATTAAGAAAGCAGTTGCCGTTTGAAAGCATCTTGAGAGGAACAGAAAGAATAAAGGTGCCAAATTCCATCTGATCCTGATCAAGAGCCAGGTTCACTGATTGGCTCTTATAACACCAAGTGGATCTTCCTCCCCCAGCTGGAAATATGGGGAGTCATCAACAGCCTCTGCCCTGGGGACATAAATGTGTCTATGTACTCAAGCTATAAAATTATGATTTTACTAAAAAAGAAAAGAAAAATAGTCTACAAGGAAGCAAAGTAATCCAGTCTCTATGTCTCTCTACAGCTTAATCTAAAAGAAAAAAATCAATGCTAGCGTAGTATTTTTAAATCATGCATCCTGGATATTGTTAAATTTCAGGGATGCTTCTAGGGCTGCCCTCGTTTTAGGATCAAGGTTGAGTTTGAGGGATCCAGAGTCTTGTTATTATCTGTTATTCTACTAATATGTTTTGGATTCAATTTGCTAATATTTTTGTAGAGGAGTTTTGAATCTATGCTTGTCAAGGAAATGGGTCCATTGTTCACTTTGCTTGGAAGGTCATTATGTGGAAGATGCTCACCTTATAAAATGAGCGGGGAAGTATCACCTCCTCTTCTGTTTTCTGGAGGAGATTGTGTAGAATCGATATTACTTTTTTTTCTGAAATATTTGATAGAATTCTCCATTGGCTCTGCTTCGTATTTTTCACTTCCTTATCCGAACCTCACCTGGGCAGGGTTGCCAAATAAAATGTAGATTTCTCAACTAAATTGGAATTTTGATATAAGCACCAAAATACTTTAAAACATAAGTTTGTCTTAGGTGGTATTTTAGACTAATTTATTTTTGAACATTATTTAATGTTTATCCAAAATTAAAATTTAACCTTTTCAAGCAAATTTAAATCGTGTTTATACAAAAACTTATATATGAATGTTAATAATATTATTTATAACAGCCCCAAACTTGAAACCCAAATGTCCATCAATTGATGAATGGCTAAACAAAAATCCACAAGTGGTAGTCAGGGTTCTCTAGAGAAACAGAACCAGTAGGACATGATAAGAGATTTATGACAAAACATTAGCCCATGTGATTACAGAGTCTGAGAAGTCCATGACCTGTTATTTGCTAGTTGGAAAGCCAAGAAAGCCAGTAGTGAAACTCAGTCCAAGCCCACAAGTCTGAGAACTAGAAAACCCAGTGGTATAAATTCTAGTCTGAGTACAGGAGAAGATGAGATGAGTTGGTCCTGCTCAAGCAGCAAGGCAGAAAACAGCAACAAATTCCTCCTTCCTCTGCCTTTTTGATCTACTCAGGCCTCAATAATTTCATGATGCTTGCTTAGGGCAATCTAGTTCACCACGCCCACCAACTCAAAGGCTGAACTTATCTGGATGTCTCCAGAAATGATGCCTCTCCAACAGTCTGGGCACCCCATGTATCAACGTGACACATCCAAATCAGTTACCACACCACACAATAGGTTAGCATCTGTCATAAAAGAGAACGATGTACCGATTCATCCTGTATCACAAATTAACTTCTAAAACGTAATGCTAAGAGGAAGAAGCCATATATGAAAAGTCACGTGTTGTATGAACTATACAGAATAGGCAAATTCATGGAGATGGAAAACAGATAAATGTTGCCAGGGGCTGAAAGTAGGGATAAACAAGGGGTGATTGCTAATGAACAGACATTTCTCAGACATGGATAGAGTTTCTTTGTGGAGTAACAAAAATATTGTAATTAGATACTAGTTACAATCACACAACTTTGTGAATATACTGAACACTATTGATTACAACTTTAAAAGATAAATTTATGATTATATGGTATATATATGAATTATAAATCAATAAATATTTATATAATAAAATTTTTAACTTAAAACATTGTTCATTTTTATTAACATGGATACATTTGATTGGTGAAACACAAGTTACATCCCTCTGCATTCTGAAGTAAAGAGTTCTAGAAAATGTTCTTTCGTGTCCTAAAATGTGAAAAACTACCAAAATGTGGAGATAATGTTCAGAATATATTCAGTATCCTCAAAGGGCAGGTGTTGACTACAGATTTTGAAGTTGACTGCCCAGACTCAAATCCCACCTCTACCACTGACTGTAAAGAGAGAAGGTTGTTAACCATCTGTGTCTCAGTTTTGTCACGTGTGAAATTTATTAATACTGGCATTACAATTGTTCCCTAACTGATGTCCTTCTTATCACCATCTTTTCTCCTGTGTCTTTGTTCAGGAGAGCAGCTAACAGGAACCCTTCAAGGAAGAAGTCACACTGCGTCACTGTTTTGCTCCAAACTCTTCCAAGGTTTGTAAAGTTACTTCAAACAAAAGGACAGAGGCACAGATGGACAAGAAACTTTTGGAAGTAGAATCAAAATGGAACAAAACAAGGATAACCAAGGACAAAGAGATACAGATAATGTATTGGAAAGAAAAAAGCCAGATTTCAGAGGACAACCACTTTGTTTTCTAGATTCTACACTAAAAAGTAAGCACGTGAACACAGCAGCACACAGAGAGGGTACTTCTGTGATTCCTGTGATGTGTCAATCTAAGCAGCATCCAGAGATTCCCCAAAGAGCATTAAGTACAGAGACAATTTTATATATTTTTATATATAAAATATATAGATATATAAATATACATAAATTATATATATAAATATAAAAGAAGTGAACGCCTTTAAAAGAAATTGGAACTCTACCCTAATATTTTAAAACAAGATAAATTACATTAAGAAAATAATATGAACCATAGAGGTACACATTAAATTAAATTAGTAAAATAGAGATGACAATTCAAGAACAATGAAAAATAAAAACTATTTAGCCGGGCGTGGTGGTACACACCTGTAATCCCAACACTCAGTGGGCTGAGGCAGGGAGAATCTTAGTGAGTTCAAGGCCAGCCTGGGCTGCACAGTAAGTTCAAGGACAGCCTACATAGTGAGACCCTGTCTCAAAAAACTAAAAAAAAAAAATTAAAAATTAGATATGAAGTGTAAATTAGGAAGAACATAGGAGAGTAAATAAAAACTGTACATGATACTTGCATACCCAGATTTATAGCAGCACAATTTGTAATAGCTAAATCTGAGAAGCAGCCTATATGTCCATCAACAGATGAATGAATAAAGGAAATGTGGCATTACTTACACTATGGAGTACTACTCTGCCATAAAAAGGATAAACTTGAGTTGCTTGTAGGCAAATGGATGCACCTTGAGACCATAATATTAAGTGAAATAAATCAGACACACTATTAAATATTGCATGGCTTCTCTTATACGAGAAACCCCAATTATAAAGGAAGAGTGAAATAAAAGCTAGATTATAGAAAGTGCAGAGACAGTTCTTTCAAAGAGAGGAAGGAGATCAGGAGATAGGGAGAGGAGGAATAGAAAGGAGAGAAATGGATAAAAAAAGAAAGTAAAGATGTGTTATTTACATGTACCAACTTCCTGCAAGGAATGTAAAATTATGTACCAGAATGTAAACATTATGTACTGCAAACATTTACTCATAAAAAAATTTTAAAACTATACCTGATTCTTAAAAGGTGAAAAAGATAAAAATGTTAAAAATTCAAAGATATAAAGAAAAGAAACTATAAATACTGAAGACCCCCCACAAAACTAAAACAAACTATAAAGATACGGGAGCCACTGAAGAAGAAATCTATTATAAGAACAAATACTGAAAACTATAATTTTTTAAAAATCTGGAGCAGTAAGTGATTTGAAAGTATATAATGAAAAGCACAGCATTTATCTGAGAATGTCAACATGACATGTTCTGGAAAAAGTATTAGATCTTAAAGGAAAAAGAAAAAAATCTTGGCTTTCTAGGCAGAAAGCACCTGAAAAGGAATAAAAATTAATTACCTCAGACCTTTTAATAGCTACATTTCATGTATAAAAAATTGAGTAACATATTTAAGATACTCAGAGAAAGAAGATGTAAGGCAACAATTTTGTATCCAGCAAAGTGGTTTTCAAGTATAAAAGTCACAAGCTGTTAACAATGTGCAAGGACCCAGAGAATATTGTTCCCCTGAACCATCCTGAGGAATTAACTCAAGAATGTGTGTCATCCTCACCTGCCTCAAAAGCACAAGGTCCTGAGTTCAATCTCTGTCACACACACACACACACACACACACAAACACAGAAGAATGTGTGTCAGACAGCACAAGATTCAAAATGTCACCATATGGATGGGTGGTGAGCACTGAACTTAGCGGCCTTCAGAAGTAAGACTACGGAAAGGCTGGGGGAGAGAGCAGTGCATGTCATGGCTGCGTATCCTGACATTGTAGACATGCAGCAACTATAGGTAAAGAAAGAAGATAGGGAGGACTAGACAGAAAACCATCTTGTTTTAAGTAATTTAATTAATGGCGATTTAGTATTGTTACTCTGAAACTGTTGTTACGTGACGTGACAGGCAGCAAGTGAGCCATTATGGAATATTCTAATTCTGTAATACTCTATGGCATTAAGAACCAGAACTGTTGCTAGAGCTAGAATTCTTAAGAAGAAAGAAGTTTTGAAATTTTTAGTTGTGACATTTGAATGGAAAATATCAGTATGTGTCGGTGGGAGTGTGAATTAGTACAGCTGAACAGTGTGGAGGTTCCTCAAAAAACTAAAAATAGAACTGCCATCTGAGCAGTGTATACCATTCCTGGGTATTTATCCAGAGGCACACAAAACAGTAGCTGCACATCCAAGTTTACTGTTTACCACAGTCCGTATATGGAAACAGCCTTTCCCCAATGAATGGATAAGGAATCTATGAGCGAGATTGTAGATGGTCAGAGAGAGAGTTGTCTCCACGGGAGTATTATTCAGCCATGGAGAATAATGAAATCATATAATTTGCAGAAAAATGGGTGGAACTAGAGTATGTTAAAAACTAGACACATAAAGATACTTATTACATGCTTTCTTTTAAATGTTGAAGCTCAAGAAAAGATGACCTGAAAGGAGAAGAGCAAATATTAGGAAAGGGGAAGGGACTGAGGAGAAAGAAGGGTTAGAGGGGTAGAAGGAGGGCAGTCATGATCAAAGCATGATACACAGATGTGATATTGAAGCTAATTAACTTGTACAATTAATATCCATTACTAATTATAGTAAATGAGAGTGTCAGTATTAATGCAGGAAGTATTGTATCACATGTATGCATATTAATAGGAGTATCTATTAAAAAGTTCTAGACACAAAGACCAGCTCAGGTCCCCATGAAAGCCTAATGGTCCAGATGTGGACTTGAAACACTATTTCCCATTAAAATAAACTAGGCTTTCTTTTTTTTATATATATAACAAGTCAGTACTTTATTGGACTCTTTTTTTTTTTTTTTTTTGTACCTGGGATCGAATTTGGGACTTTGCACTCGCAAGGCTGGGCTTTCTTGTTCTAGAAGAATTGGCTGATTTCAGAACAAGGGCAGGAAGTATAAAAAAAATGAGTCTGGCACATCTCATCATTTTAGACAGCAAGGAAACTGCCAAAGACCATCTAGGGTCACGTCAGAAAGATTTGACACCAAAATTAAGAGGTTCCCATTAGTTAAAAATGGAATAAAGTGGACTTTAGTAACGACAGTAACTATGAAGGGAGAGGGAAGAAGCTAGGACTGTTGTTACGCCAAGGCAGAGGAGGACGTTCTGGAGAGACTGGAAAAGCTCTTTTCTTTGATTTGGCGGTGGGTACAGGTTATTATCTATCCACTTGTTTTACATGGTCTGTGTTTTTGTTTTATTTCACAACAAATAGTTCTTAAAATTGTTATTGATTGAATGGCATTATTTAAACCTCTTGGGCCTTTACTTCTTTGCCTAGGCCAATAACAAAAAGTGTTTCACGTACACTTTACAATCCAAGTAATGTTGACCTTATAGAAGTTATTTGTCATGGTTATGGGAAACGACTGCATATATTATAATTCTCCAGACCAATGCTTAAATCCCGCTTAGGAAATGGAGGCAATAGAGAAGACTGGCTTAATTTTTACAATAATTGTCTCTATGCTTCCATTTTCTATTTATAGCTGCCTTGGAGAGAAACTCTCCCACCAGGAGCCTATCGAGAAGAGAAGGAAGGTGTAAAGGCGAGATCTTCAGAGACAGTGAAGCCTCACTCCTTCCTCGCAGGAGGATGTACATTTACAGTCGCAATCACAGTATCCTGTTCTACCCTGCGCTGGAGCCGTCACACAACCCAATCGGAGCTGTCATGGATTCAAGGTGACTTCTTTCAGCCCAAATAAAGGGCACCACTGGGGAGGAGGCTTGAGTGAGGCTGCTGTGGGTGTGGAGGGATCAGCCAAGGGGGCCCAATGAGAGCTTCCAGAGCCTAAAGAACTGGCTTTGCCCTTGATCGACAGCAGTCTGGTTACACTGCTGTGACAGCCATGACATTAGGGTTACAATGTGGAAAATGAGCTTTATAAAGGCAATTATGAGGGAGTTTAAAACTATTCATCTAGTTTTGGAACATTTGTTACCCTCATTTCTCTTCTTTTAAATGCTTATCAATTCCCCCATATATAAATATTTTAGTATCTTTATTTTTATAATATTTTATCTTTCTAGTAAAACATTTATCTATCAGAACAAAGCCATTTTAGTTTTTATATTAATTTGCTTTTAGTGTGTTTCACACAAATTTCCTGTGACTGATTGAAAATTAAAAAACAATTGTCTACTGCAGTTAGCTTGAGAAGTACTGAAATACACTACATTAAAGTTAAGAAATTCTATTCTTTAAAAATGACCAGAGGGCCAGGGATTTAGCTCAGTGGTTCTATCACCTGTTTTGCAAGTGCAAGGTCCAGAGTTCAATCCCTGGTACCAAAATAAATAAATAAAATAAAATAAAATAAAAATGACCATAAAAACAAGCCACAGGAGAGGAGAAAATGCTTGCAACATATAAACCAGAAAGGGTTACTATCTAATATACGTTAAAACTTCATTCAAATTAATAAAAAATCTGGACAAAAAGCTTAAATGGTCCCTTCGCATCAGAGGAGATCCCAGTGACCAATGAACATATGAAAAGGTTTCAACTAATCAAGGAGGTAAAAAGCAAAAGTACAGTGAAAGCCACACTTACTAGACTGGTGAGAATTGAAGTTTGCCAATTCTGAATGTTAGTTGAGGACAGAGTTTCAACATGGGAAATTTGGGGCAGTATAAACATAAATCTGTTCAGGATCCCAGTAATGAATGTAACTGTATTGTAGACCTAGATTGTACCAATAAAATCAATAAAAAGAAAAAAAACATAAATCTATAGCAGCGCAGGACTTAAGACCTTGGGAGATTTATCCCTCCTATTAGCACAAAGCACGACCAGGTAGCTGTGCCCTCATAGAAGTGACCCTTTGTCACCCTCATACACAAAGTGCGTGCCGTGCAGTGCCCTCCTGATCACTGTTCATCTTGCCAGAGGCACAGCACACTCTCAGGTGCCCACAGGAGCCCTCCACGTGGGCCCTGCTACTGCAGGAAAAATCTCCAAATTGTGCTTAAAAACTTGATGTGGGCAAAGGGTTCCAATTGCCAACCACATGAAACAAGTGTAAAATGTTGTGTTTAATTACAAAAGCAAGGATTCATTTTCAGTTGTTGCATGTGCTTTGAGGGCTGCAGATTGCTGCTCTGGAGCTCTTGTCTGTGAGAGACTCAAAATAAGCACCTTACACTCAAGAATAGAGTGAAGACTGACAGTCTGCTGTAAAGCTGTTGCTTCTCAGTTTGAAAGCTTGTTTTGTGCAGATGTTAATACTAATTCATGGCATTAAAACCCTTCTTCCATTGTACTGATGTTCCAGTTCAGTATTCCCTGTGGAGGGTTCTTGCCTGTTTCTCGACAGTTCTCACCCAAGAGCAAGAAGCATAGCATAGCCCCCAAATATGCCAGGACATAAGCAAAGGACAACTTCCCCTTCCAGGGAAAGGACATTTGCGAGAGGGAAAATGTACGCGTCTGTATGCATGTACATTACACCAACAGAACATATTGAGAATCTGTTATGTTTACATCCTGTGCTGGGGTGCTGGGGACAGGCAATGAATACAAAGTCTCCAACCTTTAACTTCTTTTTTTGGGGTGTGGTACCAGGTATCAAATTTGGGACCTTGTGCTTGTTTGGCAGGCGGCAGAACCACTTTGTTAAATCCCTGGCTCCAACCTCTAAATTGTAATTGTTCAGTGAGGGTTGGTACTTGACCACCTGGGTGTGATATGATTTAAGGTTTTCTTGCCATCTTTAAATTTTTCACATTCTTACCTAGACTCATGGTTCACAGAAGCTTCGGTCTCTTTTAGATTGCAAAAAGGGGATGCCTTGACTTAAACTTTCTTTGTCTTGCCCCAGTCAGGCACATTCCTGGGACATTATCCTTAGCAATGTGTCTAAAGAAGAGGAAAAATGTGCAAACGTGGCCCTTATCAGGGAGCTGAGAGGTTGGAAGCAGGACCACAGGAAAGTTGAATTGTCCGCCTAACAGCGAGAAGACTGGGGGCTCTCAGAGCCATCACATGGGGAAAGTAGAGAAGCAGAAAGGAACAGAATTGGAAGATGCTGAGAAGGGGTAGAAAGGAGCAGGATGCCACACAGGGAGAAAAGGTCAGGGAACTATCTCCACGGTGGAACAGCCAAAACAGCAGTCCAGGAGCCCTCTCGAACCACACTGTGTGGCTGCAATGGAGCACCGCACTCCCCATCTGCGATGCTTTCTAGCTGGATCCCCACAAGCCTCCTGGGCTCCAAAGTGGGGCTTCTGAAAGAGGTGATTGGATTATGGGTGCTGTTAGGAGGAGAGGCCTGGTTGGATGAGGGGGGAGGAAGGGCCTGAAACAGTTTACCTCCTTCCACGGAGCCTCTTTTTCCATCTCTGCTTCCAGGCTGCCGTGACCTGAGCGGCTATTCTCCAGAGATGCCCGGGCCGCACTGTCCTGCTTTGGAGCCAGCGACCGTGCAAAGCCTGAGACTACTTAAATGGGAGCCAAAATAGACCTCTGCTCCTTCAAGTCACCGGTGTCAGGTATTGAGCCTCAGCGAGGAGGAAACTGACCTAAGACATCATCCTTTAGTACAGCCTGCAGCTCGTGCCTGTGGCTTGTATGGGTGGATGCTGGAGTGGATGCTTGACAGAATAACAGTCCCAAAGTTATCTAAGCCCCAGAAACTATGGTTACAGTAGACAACTTGACAGAAAAATTGAGAACCTTGGGGTGGGGAGATTACCTGGGATCATCTACAGGGGCCCAAGGTGATTACAGGGGTCCTTGACATTCAAAGAGGACATAAAAGGCAGTCAGAGGAAGGTGTGACCACAGATGATACACACACAGAGACACAGCATTCCTGGCTTTAAAGGTGGAAGGGAAGCTGCAGGGGTAGGGGAGGCACTGGAAAAGTCAAGAAAACAGATACAACCACGGAGCCTCGAGTGGGGGAAGCAGGCCTGTTGTTGACACCTCAGTTTTAGCTTTGTGAGATCCATGCTTGATATGGGAATTTCTAGAAATGCCAGACAGTAAATCACTAAAGCTATGGTCACTTGTTAAAGCAGCAAAGCTAATGCAGGGTGTAAATCAGGGAAGAGCTTGATACAAAGACAGGAAAATCTAAGTGTGATTTAGGGACAGAGAGTTGCTGTGGTGTATAATAGAATTTCAAATCCGAAAGGTCAGTTGGAATCAGACTGTGGGGAGCCTGAACTGAGAGATAATGAATCTAGACACTGCCTTTGGCCACAGAAAGCCACTGAAAGGTTAGAGTGTTGGCTATTTCATCTCAGCAACAAGGCGAACTCAGTAACTAAGACAGAGACCATGAGAGTCCGAGGGCAGCTCCCAGTGCCCTCTGCCAGGGTGCCCAGGGCTGCCCCAGGGCTAAGCTGAGTCAGGACAAGTGAATGCACTCTGGGACAACCATCCTGACCTCTCAAGGTCCTGGCCTTGTTACCAGTTTCATATTTGGGTTTTCACTGCAGATTTCATTTGAACAGGGGATTTTGCATCTAAAATAATAAAGGAAAAACACCAGAGGAGCGCAGCTCACTATACAGAGAGGTTAAGCATCTCCTTCCAGGTCGCTTAGCTAGAAGATGGGAGGGCAGGGACTTATTTCCTAGGAATCTCCATTCCCAGTCCTCGGCTCTTCTGGCAGAAGGCCAGAGGGATGGGGAAGGGGAGTAGATAAGTAAATAAGGCCATTTGTGAGGCGACTCCGGGCCACTGTCCATGGAGGCTTTGAGTATGAAAGGAAGGGCTCAGGCATGAAAGATAAGTCCCAGAGATACCAGGGCTTCAGCCCATAGTCAGCGAGTGTTAGTGAGAAACCAACATTGACCCGCTCTCAAGTTCTAAATCCCAAGACAGCAGAGTTGGATTGGATGCTCTGGGCCCTCCAACCCTACTATGAAGGAGGATTACATCAGCAGACCCCAAACAGGGTGTCCTATAGGACAGGAAAGCTTTCCGGAGGAGGAGCAAGGCTTGGATTGCAAGCCAAAAAAATGAATGAAGCGACAGAGCAGGAAGGAGACACCTGGACCTGGGCTTCTGCCAACCACCCAGACTATCAGCTTTCCTATGGCCCTGCTTCCAGGAAACTGGAAAACTCGTAAACCAATGAGGTTGGCAAGGGCTTAAAATGAATGTTTAGGTCCTTATGGTTCTTTAAACATGCCTTTCAATTGTCAGGGTATTATTACTGAAACAGGAACACTGTAATTACTTGTGCATTATTATAATACACAAAGTGATTTAAGCAGTAAAAAGGCTTTGATAAATTAGTAGTTCTTTTGATTCCTACAGTTTTGCAGCTCATGTTCGAAGACATCTCTTGAGAGTTCTCAGATTCATGGAAAAGCTGCTGGAGTTTTCCCAGATTATTTTCCCCCGACTCCGAATCTTACTGCTTCCTTGACACTTCACCCACAAGTCCCACCTCAAAATTGAAGCTCAGCCCCTCTCCTTCCCAACTTGCACCTCTTCCTCCCATGTTTTGTATCTGGATGGATGGTCCCTCCATCCACGCAGTATAAGGCTCCCAAATTTTAAGAGCCACCCTCATTCTTTTATTCTTCGCTACCGTCTATCACTCTTTACATTCATATAGCAACGATACCTCCGTAACAGTGTATAACAGTGGTAGCCATTTTTTGAATGCCTATTACTGTTAGAGGATTATTATTACATACAATAATATATATTATTGCAAATCTTGAAAAATGTGCTATCCGTACTTTATAGTCAAAAAGCCTGAGGTTCGGAGACACTGTCTGCTCAAGGTTCACTTGATGGTCTGTGACAGTCAGGGTCAGAATTTGAACCCGCATCTGCAGCATTTGAATCCATATCAAGCTGATTCTAAAATACATGCATTTTCTACCCCACAGCAGAACATCCAATTAAACTCCAATGTCACTGCAGGAATTCCTGTCATGTTCCAAGGTGGATATTTTTCAAGTCTCTCCCAAATGATTCTGATGTGCAGCCAGGGCTGTGATCACTCAGGGCTTTTCAAATCCCCACCGAGTAAGAATCGCCAGCTGAGATGTGTGCTAGGCAGGACGCCTGCCCCCATCACCTGCCACATATTTGAACTGCTCCTTCCCCACTGCCCCACTACAGGCAGTTCTAGGCTGGGCCCTGGCTAGCCGCTAATTTAAAACACAGCTCTGCTGGATCTTGTGTAGGTGGGTGCTGGCCCCTCACCCCATCCCACAGCCCCTGCAGCTTACCCTAGGAGCCCTGATCTGGTCAATAGTAGCTATGTTGTAGGTGCGTGGCACACTCTCCAAAGAAGCAGAAATCCTGGGAGAGGCCTGTGACGAGGGCTTTCCAATCAAAGGCTGGAGATCTGCACATGCATCTCTTTATATGATGCCGCCAGTGTGAAGGGGGAGGAAAAAGGACAACACACAGGCAGAAACACCCCTCTTTCCCCACCAAACCGTAAAGCAGGGCAGGCCTTCATGAACTCCTCTCTAGTTACCAGTGCTTGAAATCTCAGCTCTGCCCAGCCATACCTTCTCCACAGTGCCCATGTCCTCGGCCAGCATGCTAACATCCTCAATCTCAGTGGGAGATCTTAACGGCTGAATTTCAGGAAAGAGTTAGAATGGAAATCTATACACGATTCCTATTGCGCATTGCAAACATCCATTTGCTTTGGATTCACCAGGTTTTATTCATCCAGTTTAAATTCTGTAAGAAGAATGTTTTGATGTTAGTGATGTAAGAATAATGGAAATCTGGGAGTGGGTCACAGTCAAGGACAAGGCTGCTGCTCAGCAGGTCAGCTCAGTTAGTCATTCTGGTGTTATTTCAGGATATTTACAGAGCCAGTCGTGCTCACTAAAGGAGAAGTGATATTTCCTTCTGTGTCTCGGGGAGGACACTGGGGATCGAACCCCATGTCTTCCCATTGAGCTACATCCCCAGCCCTTGCTAAACTGCCATAGCTGGGATTGAACTTCCAGCCTTCCTGCCTTGCTAGAGTTTGTTAAGATTCAAGGATTTGAGCTAAAGTGTTCTCTGAACCTCCTACGGAAAGAGCAGTGGCCTTGGCTGGTGGTAGGGTCACGGATATGACCCAGCATCTCTGGACTCTCCCAGCCTGCTGGCCCTGCTCCGCAGTGCCTGCTTCCAACACAGTCCTTGAGGGTCACTATCGATAGCTCTGTGTGGTTGTGCCCTTCGGCTCTTCAGAAACAGCTGTTGCGAGAAGGTAGAGCACTGAAAAATTCTTGCTGGTGTGTCTGCCATCAATCCCACTTCTCGGCAATCTGAAAGGGAGAAGGGACCAACTGATGATCTGAATCCACTTTACCAGCGTGTCGGTTACCACCTGCTGACAGTTGACAGGGACGGCCCAGAGGTGACTCATTCCCTTAACATCTTGCCTGCTGCAGCGGCCTGCAACATGGGGGAGCAGTGAAAGAGGGACAGCAGACAGGCGAAGCCATTCCTACAACCACTTGCTCCAGCCACTCCTACTTTCTGAATTCCCCTACAGTGCTGTAGGTGATAAACACACTCTCACTTATTAACTCTTGTGATTGCTCTGGATCTTATGTAGGGGAGGGGTAATCATTTCATGAGCGTCATGTCACATGCACTGATACCATAATGCAATTACTAAAATGTCTCCGTCTGTTTAGGTGGGGAGGAGACCCATTTTTTTCTCCAAATGCACTGTTCTCTGTAATTCCATCCTAGAGCGGAGAAGTCAGTGGATTGCTGAATCCTCAGCTATGACTCAAGTTTACCAAAGCCCGAGATGAGGTTTATCTATCACCAGATCCCCAGTGCCTACCAAGTTTGTACTTAATGGGCCCTTGTAAATATTAATCGAATAAAACAGTTAATGAATGAAAAGCTATATATGGCTTGGTTCTTTCCAAATTTGACAGTGCTTCCATCATTTTGCAACTTGCATTTGGAGGTGAGAATTTGAGGTACATCCTAATTCCACTAATGACGCAAGGCTTTTAGGAGACACCAGTGAAATGGAAAACAATGCTTTGTTGAGTTTGATTAAAATCTATTGGTGGCAGAAGTAAAAATTTACCATCACTTCCAACAAAATGATCTGAAGTTACTTTAAAAGACTTCACAGTTTTGTGAGGCTCTGGGTGCCTCCCTGGAACAAATATTTTGTGGTACTTCGGCTTGTGTTTTCCTGCCTGATGAGGCACATTGCTCAGAGTGTTGTCATAAAGCACTTTTGACCAGCCATGGGAGAATGAGTGCAAGCCACAAAAGATGGAGAATGTGGAGTATTTTAGTGCTGCTCCAAAAAAAAAAAAAAAAGACATCTGTTTGCAAAGAAAAAAGTTTATGTTTAGAACAAAAGTGCATTCTATCAATTATTGCATAAATTTGCATATTCTCAGGCTTTAGAAGAGACCTAATTTGGAACCGGGAGCTCTCTCGAGTTCACAGAACTTTGGAATTGCTATGGAAGTGGGTGCCAATATTCTGGCAAGAAAGTTTGTCCCCTGGAAGCTGTCAGAAAAGGATCCCTTGCAGAGATGCCACAATTCCCACATTTCTCTTCACTTTAACAAAGGTTTCCCTGACTGCACAACCCTCCTCAAGAGTTCCCATTCTTTTCTACTCTTCTTAAAACATGCTGGTCATCTACTATATCCATTCCCAGATCCACAAGTGGACTGTGATCGCTAACTGTAAAAATACTGCTGTAGAGAAATGCAGAATGACAGGAAGCCACAAAGGCTGCACTTGGAAGTTGTGGTTAGAGCCATACCCAGGACATACTTGTCTGTGGAGGCCTTGGGTCTAGGTCTGGGGAGCCAGGCTGTCTGGACACGTGGGTGGCAACACCCTGGGATCACAAAATGGCAGTAGGGATAGGAGAGGGTTTCGCCTTCGTTCTCTGTTAGAAGCACTGTGCTCAGAAAGTCAGCACTCCCCGCTGTGAGTAGAAGCTCAAGGAGCTCCATCTACTTCCCACCCTTGAGGCAAACCTCAAGTGTTATCTTCACAAAACTGCTTGACCAGCATAGTGCAAGGTCCTCAATTCTTTCACTCCAAGGAGACTTAATCGACACCCCACTTTGTGTACGTTACGTCTCCTGAGGTGTGGATTAGTTGTACTTTGGGCTTGTTTCCATCACTTACTGTAAGTTGCGGGAGGACTGTGAGGATGTCTCACTCAATTTTGTATCCCATATTTATTACCTGGATTTGCCCATCGTGGGTGTTCCACTAATATTTGATACATACAGAAGAAGGTCAGAGAAATGCTCGGTCTTATCCCTGAAATTTGAAAATGATTTATCTTTGAAAAAAGTGTCACGAGTTCCGTAGAAGACTCGCTCATCCAGCATCGGCATCTCACACCTCTTACTTTCTGCCTGCTCATTCATTTATCCTACCACCCCTTCCTCCATTCATCCAACACATTCATTAAGAATGTGCCTTTCCTAAGCTAATCACTGCAGTGGCCAAGATGGGTAATACTGTCCCTGCCTCCGGCTCAACTCCCAGAGACTGGTGAGGCGGAAGTCAAGGAAGAGAGCAATGACAACTTCGTTTGTGAACAGTATGAGGACAAACAGCAACCCACATTTCCTTACCCATATCATGGTGCATGCCCCTCTCACCAAACACTTCGTTTGTTTCTCTCAAACTTCTGCGATTCATCCTACCAGCAAAGATTTTGTTAAGCATCGTATCCTATAGTTTTATTATGACCTCAATAATTGGATAAAAATATAAAATTATTATGATAGCAAATGTGCCTTTACAAAATGTACATGTATTTAAAGCAACAGATGCTAACGCAACTCCCACAGCAAAATGGAAATTCTAATAGTGTGAACAGCACACTAAGTTAAATAATCTCATTCTACTGCCGGCCTCTTCACAGGCTTCCCTTAGCCCAAAGATAAAATCTGCAGAGCCTGACCATGGGGTTTTGCCCTGGCCACCCCTCTTCTCTCAGCCTGGCAGCACTGGCCCCTTCTGTCCTTGTGCTTGCGGCACATTCCCGCCCTTCCCCGACTCTCCTGCGTCAGGTCGCAGTCTGATAATCCTTCGGAAAGGCGTTCCCGAGGACTACTGTGAAGGCCACCAGTCTTCATCATTACAGCAGCCTGATCTTTTCGAGTGAACCGACCACGTCGCAACGTATCATACTCCATGTGTTTACTCGTGTCTCTTGCTAGACAGTGAGCCCCACAGAATCTTCGCCAGCCTATCCCCGGAGGGGGGTCACAGGGTCTGGGGAACATGGTAGATACGATAAATGTTTTTGGATACATGAAGGTTAGGACGGCTCCGATAAATTCTGAGCACCTCCTTGGAAAGGGAGGGCCACCTTCCTCCCGAGCGAGGCGCGCGGAGAGCCGACCGCGGAACAACAGCGACACCAAGTGCCCAGTCGTCGTTACCAACGTGTGCGCTCTTTCCAGACATCTCAGGCTTTATCCAGGGCTAGATGGGGCATTCATGGTGGTGGATCCTAACAAAATCCACAAACAGGCTTGCGTTTTCACTCTTTTCCTTACTTAAAAAACAAAACAAAACCCACAAACTGCCCTCCAACATCTTCACATGTTCACAGAACAGCACATTCGGAAAACGTGAGATGGCTTATTGGATGGGCTTTGGTGTTGCTATGGAAACTTTCACTTTTGCTAACTGTTGGAAACCTTGCGTTTCCGAATCTGTACGCTTTGAAAAGGCCTACTTGCTTCTACTTTGTTTTTGCAAGCTTTACTTTGACTTACTGTATTTAATTTGCTTCACTTTCTAATTTGTCAAGTGACGTGTTATTAAAATTCCCCAGGGAGCCAGCAGGATACCGCGTCGCTGAGAGACAGAACACGTCTGCAAGAGTGAGCGACTCCCATCTGGGGACCTGTGACAAGATTTGGGGAAGCCTTTAGGTTATCACTGCTGTGGACAGGCTGGGAACTGGACTAGGAGTCTGGAAGATGCAGAAAAGCCTTCCTGAACATCCTTCTCCACGCCCGCAGGTCCTCTGTGTGAGAAAGGGATCCTGAGGGCCCATCACACCTGCTTGTTTTTTCTCTCATTAGTTACCTCCAGGAGCAGAAAACAGGGCTAAAGCAAAACAGAACATTTGCATTTAGTTAGAAGGACGCTCACGTGCACCCCTGAGATGCGTCCATCGCTGGTGTGGGTGTGAGAGGCACAGAGCAGCGCAAGGAGCCTGACTTTCAGCGGTAATGGCCAGGGCCCTGCCTGGGTGTCAGGACTCAGGGAAATGAGGGTGATTTACTGATGCTGCACCTCAGGGCAAGCAATGGATGCAAATGAAGTGTAAAATAAAGAGGGTGCAGGTGAACAACGCTCACTGAGACTCCTCATACGTGCAGGTCAAGGAGGGCAAGCCAGGAGGAAGAGGCAAAATGTCTTTGCACTGTGAGCAAAACAGGTCTCAGCATCTGTCAGGCATCATTAAACAGCCCAAGGAGCCGGCTCGTAAGGGGAGGCAGTTTCACCCAGCAAAGACCAAGCCTTGGTGCCTCTTTCGTTAGTGGCACTATCTCCTATTTGACTCCTCCTCTCATTTTATTTTTAAAAATAATAAAGACATGATAGTTGTTCTATCTAATGTATGCCCCTTATAAAAGAACTGTGTATGCATAAAAGAACTACATATATCAGAACTTATATGAAAAAGTCAAAGTTCTCTCTCCTTTTTATAGTCCTCTTGGAGAAGTTTAGTGATAAATAAATATGTGTGTGTGTGTGTGTGTGTGTGTGTGTGTGTGTGTGTGTGTGTGTGTGTGTGTGTGCGAATGTGCATATAGGTACATACATACATATGACTTAGATTTACAATTTAATTCTACGTTATAGGGCCAGGCGAGTTGGAACTATAGAGATGCGCCACACTCTGAATTAAATGGAATCCTTTATTACCGTAGTCGGCATTTCGGAGTGGCTCAGGCCTCCAAAAACTCTAGACAAAGGAAAGGCAGTTTGTACTGTCCTTTTAAGAGTTCTTCTATTTGGGGAGGCTCAGGGAGAGGGGAAACAGGAGCGGAATTTCACAGGAGCAGAACTTTGCTAAACTAGTGGGGGTCAGGGAAGTTTCATACAATTTAGTTAAGACAAAGTGTCACACAGGTGCAGGAGTCTCCTGTTTATAAGGTAGCGCAGATAACATAGTTGCAGACTGCTCTACCAAAAGGTCACAGAGATAACGTATAGTTGCAGACTCACACAGGATGTGGGGGTCTGTTATGTGTGAACCGAGGGGCCTCCCAAGGGGGAAAGGACTGGGAGTCACTGGACTTTACACAGATAAGTCAGGTACACAAATAGTCAGGTTGGCTGTCACATCATGCTGCACTGTCTTTTGCTATTTCCAGGATGCAGTTTTTGACCTTGATTTGGTCCTTGTGAGTCTCAGACATGGGCTCCTTGGTCTGTGCCGCTGTGGTCTGAGCATGGGATCGAACCCTTCCACCCCCAGTGCTGCCAATTTCCCTGCCTGCCACGTCCTGCTTCGTGCACATTGGACCTGTGCATCCTGGATATGTAGTCTGGATTTTGTCCACGTCTTTCTGTTGCCTTCCAGTTCGTTTTTGTTTTTTAACAGCACAGCCTTGACGCAGAGCACAGGCACCACAGAATCATTTCACCCAAGGAACATCCATTCCTTCCTCCCCGCCCTCCACGCACCTAAAGTCAGTGTCACAAGTCTCCCAGTGGCTTCCAAATCTCCTTTAGGTGTGACACATGCTTCCCACTGTCTTTTCTAGCATGTCTCTGTGGACCCTACACCCACCCAAGATCTCTTTGCACCAAGCTTGTTTTTGTCTTGCTACCCTAATACCCAGTCGAGGCTCTTTTAACACTAGGGCTTTCCAGA